AAAAACTTATGCCACAAGAAATCTGTTGGCATTAAAGGCACCATAAGACTTACAGATTTTTTAAAATTATTATTAATGCAGAGATTGCTTTATACATTTGAGAAAACAGCTTATTTTCAGAGCATGGTTTAGTGTGTAAACTACATTTAAGAAAACTTCATTTTACAACACTTGAAATTGTTCTTAATTTGGGTGGAAACCAAGAACAACCAACATCTAAGATATTCACCTTCATTTTTCACTCCTAGGTTTCATGGTTTTAATTTTTAAAGAAATTTTTTGACTGACTAGTTTGATCGAACTTGGCTGCAGCAATTAAAGCTGCATTGTATGGTGGACAACTATAATTTGGCAACATTCATTATGCAGGAAGACATAATTGCCAGGGTTAACTGGCACTGACATTTATTCTGTGCCTTCCAGAGTAGTCTCAAATGCTGAATAAACAGCACTCATCAAATACACTCATTTGGAAAAATAGGCAGTTTATAATTCAGGTATTTCTTGGGTTCAAAATTAATGGATCATCTCAGTAATTTAAGAACTTGCTTTTATGCCTTATTATGGGGGTTAGTTTTTACAGGATGCTTTGTTGTAATCATGAGAAAACACTGCCAGCATTCAATTCTAACCTAATTTAGTAGGCACTTTACACGGGTTGTAAAGAAGTTAGAAAGATACATAATTATAATCAGAATGTGTCTTATCAATCAATCTTATCACCACAGGTGCCCACCACATTGCATAGAAACTGAACATACTCAAACAATATGCAGTGACATTTTGCTGATTCTGCCTCGCAAGATACCATGATTCTCCAGCTCTGGTCAACAACTACAACGGGTTTCCTAGAAGGCCACTTTGAGAAGGCAGTGAAGGGTGGTGGGTCTGCAGCTTAAAACACATCCCTTCTGTAACCTGGTAGCAAGTTCTATTACTATAAGTACTACTGCTGCTATACCCTTTTCACCTCTACTTCGGTAACTGAGTAACCTGTAGTATCTTTCAGGGTCCTGTATTTGGCCCAGGGGAAACCAATTACTGATCTCTGTTGCTGAGCACAGAGTGTCAGCATGTGGCCTAGTATATACCGCACTCCATAACTGCAATTATCAATAACAATTAATTAGCTACAACTTGTATTTTATATTAAGTAAAATTCTGACATATTCAAGAAATATACAGAAGACAGGTGAATGTGGAGATGGGAGAGGCTGACAGGTCCATATTTAGCTAAGTTGGAGACTGATCTTACAAACTGCTCATACAAGCTTTATTTTCATGCAAGTAATCCTATTCACTGGGTAGTGTAATTGAGAAGAGATAAAAGAGCTTGGAAGTGTGTGCCTCTTATGAAGAATTTTTGAATGTATTTAAATGCTTATCTGAAAAACACTTCAGAACATCAGTAAAATGTAAAGCTTTGCTTTCAAACAATGTTAGAAGAGAATATTGTATGCAATGAACATGTTCAGCTGTTACTGATTACATCTTCCTGTAACATTTTAAACATGTATATATGCCAGAACAAGTGTTATATTAAGTAGTAATATGGGGGAACAACTATTTTTAAAAATGAAGGCATTAATACAGTATTATACATTAATAACTGAAAATTTACATTTACTGCTTTGTAAATTTATAAGACACTGTGCTGCTTGACAGTGTTCCCAAACATTGCTTTGTGCAGTAATCCATAGTAAGTAAGAATTGATATTTGGACACTTTTCAAATAAACAGCTTGTACACATTATTTTACAGTGATCTGAATATATATCAAACTGCAGCACTGATAAGAACATAAAATAAGCCATGTTGGATTAGGCCAACGGCACAACCAGTTCAACACTCTGTGTCACACAGTGGCCAAAACCCAGAGTTATAAAGGCATTGGCATTAAGATTAGTGGTTTTATTATTTCTGATTAGAAAAATTATATTGTGTTGATAACCTATAATTTTCAAACCACTTCCTTGCAAATACTCCCATTGCAAAACACTGGAAGTACTGTATGCTTAATGTGAAATAAATGGGCTGATCATATGCATATTTATTCTGAAGTAGTTCCCACTACATTCATTGGAGATGAATCTCAAGAAAAATTCCCATGCTATAACCTGAGCTGACAAAACAAGGATGAAAAGCTAAGGGCAGTCTCTCCGTGAGCGGTCTATCTCTGGGTCACTGGTTGTTGTCAGGACAATGGGTAGAGATCTAGACATTGTGAAGATTAAAACAAAACAAAATTGGAAAGCTGCATAGATACCTCTGGTCAGATTATAGTTGCCAAACTTCAGGTGGGGCCTGGAGATCTCCCAGAATTACACTTTATTTCCAGATCACAGAGGTCAGTTCCTCTGGAAAAAATGGCTGCTTTGGACTCTATGGCATTATACTCTGCTAAGGTCTCTTCCCCAAACCCTGCACTCCCCAGGCTCCACCCCCCTCTCCAAGAATTTTCCAACTTGGAGTAGGCAATCCTAGGTTAGGTGTAAGCATGACATTTCTGGGGAGAACCAAATGTTCAATTTGATATGTGTAGGCCGTAATATCACAGAAGCTAGCTTTCTGCAAATACATTTTCTCTGACTACTTGGAGGGGGATGTGCAATCCTGGATGTTGGATTCAGCCATTGACCTTATAAACAGCACATGAGGTAGGCATTGCCAATTCTCTGAACTGGCTGCCAGCATTGCCCATTTTGTATCAATTCTGTTCAGGGTTTTCTCCATTGTACCTGCGGCACCCAGCAGGCCTGAGCAGAAGCAGCCACAAAATGTTGGGAACCACAGCCACCACTAATCTCCCTTATAAATAAAATCCGAATGGTTGTGGCACTTCTCTAGAACATTCCACATGCTCCGGAATTGGTTGGCACCCTGGTGTGTCACTCAGAATATTTTTTTATATTTATTTAGAATCTGTCCCTATCCACTGGCTGCATTGCTTGAGTCTTGCCTCCAACATTCTAAACAGTTTGCTGTTCCTCTCCCCCCCATAGCCAGTCAGAACACAGAGGTTATTTGCATATGCAGCCTCATTGGCCTTTGCCTCGGAACACAGAGGTCGTTTGCATATGCGACTTGATTGGCTTTTGCCTCTAACATTCGAAACAGTTTGCTGTTCTGAGGTAAAATGTGTCCAATCTCCAGGTGAGGGCTGGAAATCACTCAGAATTACAACTGCTTTCCAGATGGCAGAGATCAGTTCCCCTGGAGAAAATGGTGGGCTCTGTATCCTTATATGCTGCTGAGGTGGCCCCCGTATGACAGCCAATGTGACGTAGCAGTCAGGGCTTCAGAGCATGGGAGAAGTTGCAGGTGTGTGGGGGGTGGAAAGCTGAAAAGTGAGGGGGAACTAAAGGTAGGTTGATGATTGGCTGGTAAGGAGATAGGGTTGCCAACTCCAGGTGGGAAATTCCTGGAGATGTGAGGGATGGAGCCTGGAGAGGGTGAGGTTTCAGGAGGCGTGGGACCTCGGACAGGTACAACGCTATAGACTCCACCCTCCAAACCAACTATTCCCTTCTGGGGAACCATCGTTGCCAATCTCCAGGTGAGGGCTGGAGTTCACTCAAAATTACAACTGTTCTTTAGGTAGCAGAGATCAGTTCCTCTGGAGAAAATGGTGGACTCAGTGTCATTATACCCTGCTGAGGTCGCCACAGCAAATTGACACTGAGTGTCCAAGTCCAGGGCACCCGCCCAGAGCCTCTTTCTAGAGGTCGTTGTATTTATTTCCACAACGGGCCTTTTTCCTAGTACTTTATATTTGAGAGCTTTCCCGATCTATTGAGCTTAGTGTTGTTGGAAGTTAGCTTTTCCTTTAAGTGGGGGGTTCCCAGTGTGGTCCCCATGGATACCATGAGCCCACCAACACCTTTTCTGGTACCTGCCAAATGCTTTCAGAAACTGGACGGTACTAGGTGGGGCTCTTGCCTAACAAGCCTTCCAACTGGCTGTCCAGATTTAAAAGGCATCTTTTTAAACAGAAATTCTGCCTGAAATGATGAAGAGTACTGTTAGTATAGGAGCTGCGGTGGCTCAAGTGGTTAAGACGCTGAACTGCAGGCTGTGGAAGGTCAGTAGTTCAGCAGTTCGAGACCCGAGTGTGCCGCATGACGGAGTGAGCTCCCGTCTCTAGTTCCAGGTCCTGCCAACCTAGCAGTTCAAAAGCAAGAAATTGCAAGTAGATAAATAGGTTCCACTTCAGTGGGAAGGTAACAGCGTCCCATGCGCCTTGGTGTTTAGTCATGCCGGCCACATGACCACGGAAACATCTTCGGACAGCGCTGGCTCTTTGGCTTTGAAACGGAGATGAGCACCGCAACCCTAGAGTCGGACTCGACTGGCTTTCGAGCAAGGGAACCTTTACCTTACCTTACTGTTAGTATAGAACCTTGCTCTCTGACTTCATGGTTGGCTTTGCTTTCTGCAGCAGCCCACCACTCTGTCAGAATTCCAAAGGTGCCACAGGCTCAAAATGGTTTGGGGATCCCTGCTTTCGTAGATCCAATTATTAATATATTGCTTTCTAACTCTTCCATAAAAGATTCCCATGTGGTTTCCCACCCAGGCTGTTTACAGGGCCAGACCAGACCCAAGCCGGTTCTCCAAACTGGCATCTTCCCATCTAAAATATGTGAGAAGACCTGCACCTGTTAAAGGCTTCGTGTTTTCATTCTGAAAAATGTAGCAGCCTGACAAAGAGCGAAACCCCGGAGACACACATCGAGGAGGGTAGCAAGTACCATTATTGTCGCTCCCACCCCCGGCCTGTGCTTTTTACAGCCGTACATCACGCAGCCTTTCCGGATCTAAAGCTGCATTACGCTCTGACAACTAGACAGCGAGCCAGGCAGCCCCCGCAGGAAAGCTCGGTGCCTTTACACCAGGGACCTCCTCATTGAAAAACCATCCCTTCAAACAAGCGCTGCCGGAGGCCCCCCTCCCCTCCTCCTCGGAGGCCATCGCGCTCCGAAGCTCAGCGGGCCCCGGCACCGACGGAAGCGCCAACTCCGCCTCTTTCCTCGCGCTCGGGCTTCCTTTCCCGGGCGGAGGAGCCATGAAGGCCGAGCCACGTTGCCGCCTAGAGACTCTGGCTTTGAGGAAGCAGTTAATCGGGTAGGTGCCGCGGCTAAAGGACCTACCAGCTGATTGGGCGCCAAGGAGTGCTGCGGCTCACGGGGTCTTTGCCTAGGCTTGTGAAGGGCAATGCTGCGTTACTCTACACACACGGCAGAATGAGGGGATAAAATGAGCTGAACCACTTCAGCGTAGAGAGGAGGGGAGAGTCGCATTTCTAACGGTCAGCCATGGCGGCGGCGCGGGGGGGGGGACCTTCTGCAGCAGATACACTTAAGGGGAGGTTCTATCTTTTTTCGGGGAATTACTAAGGTAGGGCGATCTTCGAAAAATATAAACCCGCACCTGCAGGCTGGTGTAAAAGACCATATTACCACTCCAGAACTCTGCTGTCTCATCATTACCACCTCATTCTGTTTGAGGTGGTAGAATGGACCATTTAGACGGCTGGGGAGGAATTTTCTATTTTTCAGATTCCCCTACCCTGAGGAAACCCAACACAGAAAGCAATGACCCTAGGTACAGGGCCAATTTATCCATTAGACACAGCGGCGAGGGCCCATGGTACTTTTAGAGGACCACAAAAATGCTTTTTTTATTTTAAAACCAAGAAAAATGAACTTTTAGGGTTGAAGAAAATGTTTTTTCTTCTCACAACAGAAAAAATGAAATGTTTAGGGCCCATGACATTTATTGAATTTTGCCTAAAACGGAAAGTTGAAATATTTAGTTATATCAAAACTAATTTTTAATATTGATACTATTAGGATGCCCATAAAGGCAAAAGTGGCTAGGGCCCACAAAATTCATAATGTAGTTTGATAAACTAATCCTTAATTTGCAGGGAGTCCTTACATGAAGAAGTATTTCAAAATGTGGGTTTCCCACCCACAATCTGAAGTGGTAAAGGCTGTTTATCTACTTTATTCCCTGCATGTCTGGTCCACACCTTTCAGCTGCCCACGTGGTTGCATATCTGGGTTACAGATGAACTTGGGTATGGGGGGCAACTGGGATACCTGCACTGCATTCCTCTTGGCATGGGCCTTTTCTAAGTCCTGTCTGCTGGCCACGCTGGAAGCAAATTTGGCAGCTCAGAGCATTTTATTCTTTATTTATTCATTTTTGAGATTTTTATTCCACCCTCCCCAAAGTGGGCTCATGGGGAATCACAAAAGCCAAGTCCAAGACTCAATAAAAATCACATTAAAAACAGTTAAAACACTAACAATAAAAATTCATACAAAAATTTCATATCTGTTAGAGTCACAGTGGAATCAGAGGGCTCTTTCAGCATATTGGGAGCCAGACTGAGAGCAGGGAGGGCAACTGTGATGGACTCCCGCCGCCTCAACCAAGGGCCTGGCGGAACAGCTCCATTTTGCAGGCCCTGTGGAACGATAACAGGTCCCACAGGGCCCTGATCTCCAGTGGGAGCTGATTCCACCAGGCCAGAGCCAGGGCAGAAAAAACCCTGGCCCTGATTGAGGCTAAGCAGACGTCCCTCGGGCGGGGGTAACCAGCAGATGTTGATCCTGTGAGCACAAGGCTCTTTGGGGCACATATAGGAGGAGGCGGTCCTTCAGATATGTCAGTCCCAGGCCACGCAAGGCTTTGAAGGTTAATAACACCTTGAAATGGATTCCAAACTCAACTGGTAGCCAGTGCAAGCGGCACAATACCGGCTGAATGCATGCCCACACATCTCCCTTGGTCTCATCCAGCTTGTGTTGTGTATCTGCCAGAAAGACTCAGGACAGGACTTCCCCACTCTTCAACGAACTCCCTATTTAGGCTCAAGTAGCAAACATTAAAAGCATGGCGTTACTTGTGTTTGTATTGCTCATCTTGTGGAGTTTATTACAGCAAATTACTATTATATACAAATTACCTTTAGTATACAAAGCACATGGATCTTCTCCACAGTGAGGGCTATTCAGTTACTTGCTTTATTGTCCAGTGTTTTCTTCCAAGTAACAGCAAGGTGGTGGTGGGGGTTGAATTTGGACTGAAACTACTGTGGTCAGGTGCTGATAGACAACCCATTCTGAAAGTGAGAGCTGGACTGAAGGAATGCCTTTCTGGTAGTAGCTATATGTTGGGTTTTTCCCCATTTAATTTGCTTTTTATTTAAACTGCCTTAACATCTGTTGAAAAAAGGACAACGTATTTAAACAGATCTAAAGATGCTTCCCCTTAGCTTTCTCAGGTATGCCCAAAGCCTTATCTACAACTAATACATATTTGTTACTGATCAGTGGTAACAGGACAACCTGTGTTAACTACCAGTCCGTGTTGTGCAGTGGAAATTAACGTAAAGAGGAAGGGTCATCCCTCTGTATTCAGATATCTAAGCCCATAACTGGTCCTTTTCCATTAACATGCAAAATATTAGAAAACACTCTCTTACAGTGTAAACCTGAAAAGAGTTATGCCCTTCTGAACCCACTGATTTCTCTGGGATTGCACTGTCATCATGTAAGAGTCATCATGGTAGAAACCCTTATCCCACCCCTAAATGATGAACGTTTAAAAGCCAGACAAGGACTCTGGGTCTCTAGCAACCTTAGTTTGGGGAATGAAGGAACTGGGAACTTGTATCACATTCCGATTATATTGTTTCTTTCCATATGAGTGAGGAGGATTTAAGTTACAGCTGGGCGATCTCTCCAGACCTATGTAAAAGTGAGTTAATGTTGAAGGCGGAAAACATGTCAGGCTTCAGTACCACTTTGTTCTCACCCAAAATGCATCACTTTTTGTTAATGAAAGGAGGATATGTTCCAAAACCTTACGGGCAAACTTAATCCTCACTGCAAACGCCATTTGGAGAATCCAGTCTGTAAGCAAGTAGGTTGCGAAGGTCTGAAAAAGTGGTTTTGACTAATGTCCCAATTAGTAATCTACAGACTGGGTATGGATGCTGAAGTAATGTGGAATCTGTGAACATGTGGACATTTAGAGATGGATTTATACTTTTTCTAAACAAAGAATGCTTGTGATATCGGAAATTTGCCATTCCAGGTGCAGGTACAAAGGTCTTTGTCCAGAATAGTGTCCAGAACAGACAAGTAGAGGACCCACAAGGACTTACAGGGTGCATTTCATTTTTCCCTCCTCCATTATTTCTTCTTTCTTTTCCATGGCAGGCCCTTTTCTTGCTTCTTTCTATCCTTCCCACCCACCAGCCAATATAGTTTTATGTACCCTCCCTTTCTTCAGCTTGCCCTTGCCCTAGTAGCCTCTCCCTAGGAAAATGCTGTTCAGGTTGCACTGTGCCAAATGAGTGGGGTCCAGTTTCACAGTAGGGAACCAACAAGTACTTGCAGGGGTACCTCACTTTCCCCTGTATCCCTTCCCCACAGTATTTTTTTTCTTTCCCTTCTTCTGGCAGTGCCTTTACCTGCTTCCTTCTCTCCTTCCCACCAATCAACCAACCGATATTTTACCCTTTGTCATCTACAGCTACATTTATTATTTATTCAATTTGTATCCCACTTGTGTCATCTACAGCTACATTTATTATTTATTTACTTCAGTTTGTATCCCACTTGTCTCCACAATGAGGATCCAAACCAACTTGGATGCTCTCCTCCATTTTAACCTGACAGCAACCCTATTAGGCTGAGAGTGTGAGAGTGGCCCAAAGTCAGCCAGTGAGGTTCCAAAGCAGAGTGGGGATCTGAATCTGGGTCTGTTCTATGTTATTTATAGTTAGTCTTTCTCACCAAGCATCATAATGGATTACATTGTGCAACAGCCACTGAGGGCATTCAATACAAAGAACAGGTTGGGACATTTAATAAACAATGCTATAGAATTTGGATGGCAGACATCTGAAAATAAGCAGAAATCTGAAACACAGTTGAAACAAAAGCATTAACATGATGCATTAGACAATTCAGAAATTACACAGTAGGAACATACCTGGTGGTGGAAAGTGTCATCAAGTCGCAGCTGATTTAAGGCAACCCCATACGGTTTCCAAGGCAAGAGACTATCAGACATGATTTGCCACTGCCTGCCTCTGCGCAGCAATCATGCGCTTCCTCAGTGGTCTCCCATCCAAGTACTAACCAGGAGTGAACCCTGCTTAGCTTCCAAAATCTGACAAGACCTGGGCTACCCAAGGCAGGGCAGGAGCATACTTAACATCTGAAAACCTAATCTCTACTCCAAACTGGTTTTCATGAGATGGCTCCTATTGTACAGTAGCAAACAGCCAGTCCTGAGTGAATCATAGAGGCTGCATGGTATCAAGTTGCCTGGTGGTTGCTACCAGGCCTGGCCCAGATGAGTCCACCCTCAAAAGCCAAAGCAGCCCTCAAAAGAGCCATGCTCCCTTCTCCTGTTGTTTTCTGAGAGAAACTAAGGCTTGAAGGCTGGAAATACTGTTAAGAATGCTTAGCAACAGCCACTGAGGGAATTCATTTCTTAAAGCTTACAGGTGCTCAGGATGTCAGCTTTTTCTGCAAACCTGGGGTGATTTTCCCTGCCACTGGCAAGGTAGAGTACCTGCAAAAACTTGTGAGAGGCACCTCGCTTTCCCTTGTATCCTGGCCTATGGTTAGAATCCCCACACTATTTCTTCTTTCTCTCCTGCTGGCAGCACCATATCCTCACCTTTCCCTGCTATATTTATTATTTACTACCCGTATACCCCACCTTTCTCCACAATGTGAACCATTTTATCTTCACAACAACCCTATTAGTTGGTAGAGTAGGCTGAGAATGTGTGGCTGGCCCAGAGTCACCCAGTGAAACCCATAGCAAAGGAGATTTGAACCTGGGTCTCTCAGATCCTAATCTGAAACTGTAACCACTACACCACATTAGCTTTTGTGTGGTCACTGCTGTCAAACAGCAGCAAACAGCTGGACCAGGATGAGTCATGCAAGTTGGGTGACAGCAAGTTGCCTGTGGTTGCACATTGCCCTAGCCTCAGTAAGTCTTCCCTGAAAGGCCAAAGCAGCCCTGGAGTGGGTATTGCCCCTCTACCTTTTTTTCTGACAGAAATGAAGGCTTCAGCTGCCAATACT